GAAGGCTGCTGATAAACAATGATTAATTTTAGCTAAATCAAATGATTGCCTTCAGTTGGACTTTTGTTCATTTTATTTTAGCTAATGAATCTTTCAGGAGCGTTCGAGCATAATATACCAGCTATCACTACATGCTTCCACAGGGCTCCTTGTATAAGCATGATTTGCCGTTCCCAGGTGTGGGTGCTGCAAATTCGGGTAAACTGACTTTTATGGTTGGCGGAGCAGAGGAGGAATTTACTGCAGCCAAAGAGCTACTCAGCTGCATGGGAGCCAATGTGGTGTACTGCGGTCAAGTAGGAACCGGACAGGTACGAGCAGATACTTCATATTAGCCAGGAAATGTTAGGATGCACTGGCAATTAGACAAGCATGTGTGTGTTGGTACTTAACCTGATGCTCAGTTTATTGACTGATGATGCAGTGTTACTTTACAGGCTGCTAAAATTTGTAACAATATGCTCCTAGCCATTGGGATGATTGGGACTTCAGAGACAATGAACTTGGGAATCAGGTAAACACACTTGCTTAGAAATAACAGGAAACTAAGTAAATCATGATGTAGTTTCTGTAACATGAAATTTTGTCTTTGTTCACAGACTTGGTCTTGACCCTAAACTTTTGGCCAAAATCCTCAATATGAGTTCAGGCCGGTGTTGGTCTAGTGACACCTACAACCCTGTGCCTGGAGTCATGGAGGGAGTGCCCTCCGCCAACGACTACCAGGGAGGCTTCGGCACCCAGCTCATGGCTAAGGTCAGTCTAATAACCCGTTGTACAAACCATATTTCCTCAGCCTTCTATTGGTTTTAAAGAATATTTAGTATTAAAGTCTGTACATGTTGCTTTGTCATTACAGATCTGAGGATAGAAAAGCATGTGTTTTTTTGTTGTTGTTTTTTTATATATATAAATCAGGCAGGTACTCATCTTTTGTCAAGGGGCTTCGTGACCCTGTTGCCAAATAAAGTTTCAGTCTTGAGTCACACCACTTCACATCAGCAGTAGTTCACACCTCTCTTAAAAGGGATCAATCCCAAAGACAAATTCTCTATAGTGTGAGGTTTCTGGTTTAAAGTTAAGTTTTCAACTCCAGTTGGTTTTTCTAATGTAAATCCTTTTCTCTTTTCCAGGACTTGGGCCTTGCACAGAACACGGCCACCAACACAAAGACTCCTGTCCCCCTTGGCTCTTTAGCCCATCAAATCTACCGGATGATGTGTGCACGCGGTTATGCCCAGAAAGATTTCTCCTCCGTTTTCCAGTTCCTGCGTGAGGAGGAGGGCCAGTAATGTCAGCCTGCACCCCGTCAACCTGGCCCTGCAGGACTAACGTAGAGCAGGGTGCATTTCACCCTGGAGGACTTTTATTTTTTTCCAAAGTTGTGACAGACATGAAGCCCCAACACGGCCAGACACATCACGTGAGCTCCTCTCTCTTATTGGAAGTCGTGTTTCCTGTGTTATCTTGTTTTTTTTAAATAAATCACTCCTCTCAGTTTTAGAAACAAGTGAATGGTGAGATTTGCAGAGGATCCAGGAGATAAATATGTGGCGAATCTGAATTAAAGTGCAAAGAGCATAGTGGGATCTGTGGTGGTAAGACGTCAGCTCATCAGTCTTGTTCCTCAATAATCAGCATCTGTAAATAGTTTAGTCCTCACATTTATCTAATATTTGATCATTATCGTGTCTTTTGTTCATGTGTGTGATTTCCTTTAACAATGGAAAATGTTAGTTTTGGTTTGGGGGGAAATGTCACATCCTGCTAGGAAATAAAGACAAATGATGCCTTACGTTTTGTGTTTAATTTGCCACCTTACACTTGAACCTGGACTAGTTTGTGCATCTGGGTGTTAACCTGAGCTCCACTTAAACATGGAGACATTTTTAAAAAGACTGCACGCACCATGTTTGTTCACTGACTACTGCTGATTGTTGCGGCCTTATTAATGCCATAAATTCTTTTTTTAATTGGAATAAAACGTAGCCTCATTCAAACGGAAGAGTTTGGTGGACACGGCTTAAATAACTTTAAATACGGCCAACTATGAAAATGGCATTTTAAATTCAAAATGTATTATGTTTGGACATGCACTGCCCAAGTTTCCTCTAATTGTGAGCGCTAATACGTTCAATACCTCCCATATGTTTAAGGTTATGTGTGTATCCCAGCGACTAAGTAGTCCCGATGAAACCTTGCACAGAAAAACGCGAAGGGTCAAAACTTCACACAGTGTTTCTAACGAAAAGATTAGGTCAGCATTTATTAGGTTAGATAAAAACTTACCCAGATACTAATAATTAGTCTCTAATGAACAGTGAACTACGCATCCATGAAACAAAAGGTTGCATCATGCAGCACGCCTCGGTAGCTTTAGGATCGGGGTTTGTTTTCTATCCCCACCTAGACGAGACCAGGGGGGGCGGATTGCTTCTGGTCTGATTTGCCGAGAGCCACCGAGGTTCCAACATCGTGCGATCACAAGACAAACCCATAAAAAGTCCATTAAGAGCTGTAGCCTGAGAGCTGTGTTGTCATCTACTTGATAGGTGCAGCACACAGAGCAGCACTTTGGTCTCGGGCCTGCAGCGGAATATGACACACAGTCTGACATCAGGCACTGCAGTGCGCACGTCACTTCAGGCCTGTGTAACGCTTTAATGAGCTTTGCATTCAGCAGCCTGTCTTTTTATTGCCATCGTTATTATTTTTAATACGGTGATAGTGTGGGCTACCTTGTGCTTTTTTTGCAAATATGTAATTTGAAATTGTTTGGGTATTTTTAAGTGGTAAAAAGTACGGATGACTTGAAATTTCTCTATAAGTGCGACAGTCCTTTTTTGTTTTGCGCCGTTTTACATTTTGCACTCTAAGCAATGAGCTGTCGTTCAGGCCGAGACTGGCCGTGTGCATGACAATAGCTTGCTAAAATCAACAATAACTATATTTATCAAAACTTTAATTTAGATCATTACAAGAGGACAAATATTTCAAGGTATTTGCATATTTCCGGCTTTATACCCAAATTGTAGCCTTATGTTTTAGCCAAACATTGACAACAGTACCGTCTCCACTTGAACTGTAGAGGATTTTGGAGTGTGACAATTGAGCCTAATTAAAGGTTTCACATGATTTGTATTCGCTTTAATTGTGCCTTCAGCCACCGTCACTAATAATACCATGGTAATCTTATTTTCATTTGGCTGTGTGTGTGTCTGTGTGTGTGTGTGATGACAACTGAAAATGAAACGAACAAGTGAAATGCTTTATCAATAACTCATGCCTTTTTGTAATCTAGACTTGGATGGTCGTTTTCCTTTAACTAGTTTCGAAAGCCAGCTGGACTGTACCGTGAGAACAACGTGGCTGAGGTGAGTCCTGTCCAGTCAGCTCTGTCAGCATGGCTGCATGCCAAGTTTCAGAAAATAAGCTCATTTTCTTTCCAAAATATAGTGTGTGTGTGTGTGTGTGTGTGTACAGTGTTAAATAAAAAGTCGATTAGTCCGAGGTCGGTTACTATGCCAATAAAACTAAAAATCTTGAAATGTGGACTATTCATCACTCTTACCTGAATGAACACAGCTGTAAAGATGTACAGCCTCAAAAGTTAGGAAAACGGTTTTCTTGTTGTTTTTTGTTGTTGTTGAAGTTTAGGTGTCTATAGTTCTGCTCTAACTTTAAAGTGGAAATGTAAAACAAAGGACATTCAGATAATCCAACAGTATTTTGTGTCATACTCTTAATCCTGTATTTAGTACTATTTAGTGTATGGCAATACAACTACACAAATACCTGGAACAACATCTATACTTCTTGCACTGCAAACCCGTGCACAGTAAGAATTTGTTTCGATATCATATACGTGTCAGGCTGTTGGGGGGGCCCACATATGGAGACATTGTTACGTAGAATGTAGAAATATCCAACTTTCGCTTTCTTAAAAGGATAAAATTAATTCATTGTAGTTTGGCTTCGGTCATTTGATGTAAGTAGAGTTTACTCAACTTAGCAAGGCCTGCTGAAGAAGTAAGAAAGGGAGGTAAAAAAGCCAAGAGTTTAGGTAACTCGCCTTAAAAACGAGCCCATTATATCAGTAAAATCTCCTCTGCGGATTTAGTTGCAGTTGTCTTTGGCTAGACTGCAACTTTCACCTTGACCTTGGCCTCCAGTCGCATCAGGAAATGTGGCTAAATGTGGAAAGTTTTTGATTTTTTCTGTGTTTACGTTAAGACGCTGCGGTGCCAAATGTAAGAATGGCTCAAATTCTAATTTTGGTTATAATACGCACTTTGCATGTGTCCATAACAGATAGATATGTAGTCATTTTCCAGTGAAATCCCCCTGCGTAATCACTGGCTGAGAGCGAGACGTTTAAGTACAGCCGGTTTATACTTTACGAACAGGATGCTGAAACTCTGCAGTTTTCACTGAACGCACATGTAAAATTATACTATTTGGGTATAAAAGCAAAATCATTTTGAATCGAGATGTGCTTTGGCATTAAAGTAAGACGTTGTGTAATTATAGATGCAGGCGTCATTGCGCATCGAGTACACGGGGATATATATGTATATATATATCTATACTTATATCACATATGAATTAGTTTTTCTCACCTCATGCATTACACATTTCTTCGGTTAAGTCTGATCCGGTAGCACTGCGCGATCGCCAAAACAGCCTTCATTGTATCACGCACTTGGAGATTTCAGTATTGCTGGATCTGGGAAAAATACCTAGGGGTTCTTTGCATAAAAGCGTGGATATGCTGATACATCACATCATTACAAACACACAGTTTGAGCTGCGTTATCTGACGTCTGGATGTTTGTCGTCTTCTTTGCATATCACGTGTTTAGCCCTGGCCAATAACCTTGCGATCACAGTGGAGGCTACTCAGGCGTGTTACCCTGCCTTAGTCCCCGTTTCTGTTCAGGCTGAAAAAGAGTTGTTCGTCTCGTTGTGGAGCATGCTATGACTGCTTCATTACTCTTCCATTCGCATTGGATCGACACGGTGATGTTTCTCTACGACAACAGCTTGGATGAAAGAAGCAAGAACATGGAAGGATTTCCTGGAGGGAATTTTGCTGCAAACCAGTGCAGGAATTTGTTAGCGCATCCAACCTCGCTGGCTCCCAGCACCACCTACACTGCCAGTGAGGTGCCACTCTCTGGCATGGGGGAGCCTGTCAAACAATGCAGCCCCTGTTCTGCCGCTCAGAGCTCGCCCACTGCATCTTTGCCTTATGGATATTTTGGTAACAGTTATTACCCATGTAGGATGTCCCACGGCGGCGTCAAGGCTTGCGCGCAAACCTCTGGTTATGGCGATAAGTACACGGACTCCTCGGTCTCTGGTGAGGAGTTCTCCACCAGGGCGAAAGAATTAGCTTTTTATCAGGGCTATTCCTCGGGTCCTTACCAACCCAGCTACTTGGACGTTCCTGTCGTACCTGCGCTGAGTGCTCCATCGGAGCCAAGACAAGAGTCTCTTTTACCCATGGAGCCCTACCAACCATGGGCCATCACTAATGGCTGGAGTGGTCAGTTTTACTGTACCAAGGAGCAGCCACAGTCAAATCCTCTGTGGAAATCCTCGTTAGAAGGTATTTTTATTTAACACAGAAATAACAGTGTTCTTAGGAATATGCAAATCAATTTGTAAAATGTGCACAAAATGTCTGATTTACAAATGTTTTTTTTTTCACTACATAATGCGCCGATATAAAAGTCTATATTTGTAAACCAGTTTTAGTTGCTGGTGGGCTCAGGCGAGCAGATTAAAAAGTGATGTTGCTTTTTTCCTCCACAGACACTGGTGGAGACGGTTCTGTCCGCCGTGGCAGAAAGAAGCGTGTGCCATACACTAAGGTGCAGCTCAGAGAACTGGAAAGGGAGTACGCCACCAATAAATTCATTACCAAGGACAAAAGGAGAAGGATATCCGCGCAGACAAATCTGACAGAAAGACAAGTGACAATCTGGTTTCAGAACAGGCGCGTAAAGGAGAAGAAAATCGTCAATAAATTCAAGAGTTCAAGTTAGCTGTGGAGGTGAAAGGCGGACATGGACGCGCCTTCATCCGAAAATTAGTATAATTTATTACATTTTGGACGTCTTCTTGGTCACCAGAGTGGCTCTGTTGTGACTTACATTTGCTTCCTCAAAGTTTAATTGGAACCAGCTCATGCGGCCTGTTGTCAGAAGATGGTTCGCACCATAATGACCAACGCGCTTCTGCGAGGGATACATGGTTTTTAAAAAGAAATATCCAGCAAACGAAAAGACGTTCTGCTTTGAAGATCCGCCACAAATCGAGCAGTCCTGCGCTTTTATTCCACTTGATCCAGAACAGAGATGAAGGCTGAAAACCCCTGGAATCAGTTACAGTAACAGCTTTCGTCTTGATGCAGTGGTTAAAAACACGTTGGCTAAAAGGTCACTGTCAGAAAAGATCAACTTGAAATTATGTGACAGAAAATGAATATCAAAGCTGAGAGTTTCAGGATTCCTTCAAACTAAAGAGAAAAAGATCTCTTCGCACATTCTGTCCTTGCACAGCCTGCAGTACTTCTTTGATGTGTGCATAATTCTACCATTTGAAAGGGTTGGGAAAACACTTTACATCACTGCCTTTACAGCAGAATCACTTAATTTAAAAACAATCTTTACTGGTTAATGAACCAGCCAGTGTCTGATGAGACGCACCAAACGTAAAACAGTAAGAGTTTCATTAGGTTGGCCCACACTTTGTCCAAATCAGTATTTTTTTCTAAACACAGGGTTTTACTCGCAGGGAATAACTCGCCTGTCAACAGGTTGACAACTTACACAATATAATGTGCCTGGCAGTCAAGAACGAAGTACTTACAAATGGGCATATTTAAACATGCAAATACAATGCGACTGCAGCTATCTCTTCACCCCTTTTGACTGCAATAGCCAAAGATTTTGACAATAAATGTTTGAGAGACTTAATGTGATTTTGTCACTTTCATTCATTATTTTTAGCCCAAATTGAACATGGGCCGGATATCGATCGAGAGTATGATTTACTAGTCCTTCTCATGGTAAATTATTTAGAATTAGCCACAGTATAGTCCCTAAATTGGTGGCAATAAGTGCGGTATAGGCCAGTAAGGCCTGTAGGAGAGAGCCTTCTTCGAGCTTAGAGCTTCGGTCATTAAGGGTTTATGTCGCCATCTACTGGCGACGCTCTGTCAGCACAGTGTCTGCCAAATGACTACTGTATGCCGGCTTCTACTCCCGTGTGTGTGTGTGTGTGTGTGTGTGTGTGTGTGGCTGGGTGGGGGGTTAACTTGGACAAAAAAATCAAACCATCATCTCCTCAGTAATAACAATTTCTAATATGTACAAATACTGTACATATCTGTACTGAGCATATCTTCATGACGAATTTCACAGATAAACCCAATGAGGCATTTCTGTCTGCAGCAAAAAAAACAAAAAACAAAAACGTATTGAATTATTACTAGCCTATATTATGTATTCACACTGATATGTGGTAGGCTTATTTCTGTTCTCTTAAATTTAAAAAGTCCATCTTGAATGATTTGTCAGAAAATAATAATGAAAAATTGTCTGAATTGTTCCGTGTTCAGTTCATGTTTCTTCAAGGCCCAATTGCCAAAACAAGGCGCGGCTAATGGACTCCAAGTGCACATGCAAGTACAAGCTTATTTCTTCTTATTTTTATTTACCCCTTTTTATTAAATACAATTTGTTTGTGAGATGTTTATTTTAAAAAGGTGTCCCGAATTCATGTCTATTTATCCAGTCATACTCAAATAGACAATCCAAATATATCCTACGCAACGAGGTGCTGTTTATTTATATTAATTCATCGTGACATGAACAGGTGTGTCTTCATTTTGTATCAAAGAATAACATTAGGCAATGGCCTTTTGCCATCTCTATCTCCTTCTAGAACAAAAACCTAAACAAAAACTATCGACTTCTAAAAGCTAAATGGAAACAAAATATTTGATATGACTCAACTGCATCAAGTGAGTTTAGGTTTTATCACAGAGCTGCCGTTTTTCTGTGAAGTCTAACTGTTACATATAGTCCTCCAGAACCAGGACATGGCACTGACCTGCAAACTGTCCCGCTCCTTGTGCCCACCCAGGAGCATCAGGCTGCTACTACCGGTTGGGTTTGAAGGATGTCTCTGTACCATAAAAAGAAGCATTCGTTCTAGTAACGAGGCAGCACCCTGTGGTGAGTTTCAGTCTCACAGGACGATTTAACTAACAATAGTAGGCAAGTTTATCGTCCTGCTCAAGAGCACTTGGAGAAACCAGTCTGCTGGTAGATTAGATGGGCCTTTAAACACAGGCTGAAATGGTTTCCTAGGCATTTGGATTGTTGTCACTGACGCATTTTCTGGGGGAGATGGTGGTGTTGGTTTAAAGATGCGTCAGCCTTGTTGAGATGGAGCCTGATCCTCTGCATGCAAAGCGTCACCTCTGTGGTTCAGTGTCATTGCTCCCCCTAACAGCTGAACAGGATAGTGCATCTCACTCCAAATGGCCCCTTCTGCTGCAGGCCTGAGGCGTGCTCAGCATCGACTATCAACCCGGAAGCTGGAGCCAGTGAAGTTCACACCGCAACAAAGACAAACTCAATCTAAACAGAGCTTATTAAACGAACAGCTGCAAGACACTGAACCCCAAGTTGCTCCCGATGGCCAGAGCAGCGCCGCCATCGGTGTGTGTGTGTGTGTGTGTGTGGGTGTGGTGAGAGAGAGAGAGAGAAAGAGAGAGAGAGAGAGTTGGTGCCGCAGATGGCAGCCTCGGTTCTGTAAGGAGACACATTCCTTGTGTGTGTAACGTACCTGACCAATAAAAGTGATTATTAAAAACAAATCCTTGTCATCTTCTGTGAGCAATACGGTATTTTTCAATGGTCGCTTTAAGGTGTGTGTGTCTGTGTGTTGTGCATTGAACATCAGACAAAACCCAAAATTCTAAATACAGTTAGACGGAAAATGTAACTAAAGAAAATACAACAAACAAACAAATAAAAATATAATTTGGATTTGCTGACACAGTGTTAGCACTCATTAGTTTGCCGCCTTTTACTTCCTGCACACATTTTCTAAACACTGGTGACCTGGGATGTTCTGTAGGTGATGTTGAATGTTATCGCGATTGTATACAGTAAAACACTTCGGGCCCTGGTTAAATGATCAGTGATGACATGGGACAATGAGCAGTAATAGCACTAGAAGAGGAGAAAGGCAGACAGGTGATGTTTCAGGTTGATGTACATCAACAGTGCTGCCTCTGACAATTTTATCACACGTGCTTGACTTGGCAGAGATTCATGAATGGACGCGAGGCTGAATGTGTGAGTCCAGAAAGTTTTATTAAGGGTTTTACGTTGTTTTGTTTTACTGCAGCTTCAGCTGTAAACCCCACCCACCCAAACAACCCCTGCTTCCGGAGACGCGCCCACTTATTAGTTCAAACTCCACAGTTTCTTTACACCTTGGTGACATCAACCATTCCAGCTGTATGACTATTAAATGGTGCAGGTTAACAGTGAATGATTTGTCCCTGATCAGTGCTGTTATATAGACTTCTTTTCCTCCACTCCACTTTATATAACATGAACTCTTGTGCAGAAGAAGACAGATCACCTTGTGCACCGAACCATGACAAACCTCCATAGAGGCTTAATTGGAAAAAGAGTTATAACCAAAAACACCCTATCGATGTTTTGCTTCAGCTTGAAGCTCCTATTGTCTTCCAGATGTGTCATGTTTGGGTAAATGTTTTCTTCATGCAGTGAAGGAGCAAGGTAAGGCCTTGGGGCAATACATCAGTCTGCAGTAACAATACTTTCATATCATATAGGCTGTAACAGAAGTCAAGGTATTTCAGACTATTCGGTGGTTTGGTTTGCTCTTCAGCCTTTTCAGGGCACCAGCCCTGATCCAAGTGTAGTCACCCCCCCCCCCACCACACCAGCATTCAGCCCACAGCACTGACGCCTCTGTCACTGTCCTACTGATTTACAACTCTAATTCAAGGACAAACTGTGGAAACTAAATACTTTTACAAGTACTGCACTTAAGTACAGTTTTGAGTTGTCTGTACTTTACTTGAGTATTTCCATTTTCCGAATCTTCATACTTCTACTCTGCTACATTTGTTTCATAACTTTATTTAGTAATAGGCCTAATAATGCATTTTCAGACTCAGAGTAATAAAAACATACAGTACAATCATAAGATTGTATTGGTCCCTGTTGGGAAATGCACAAGATAGCCAGCAGTATTTGTAGTACTTCAAATTAAAGCATATAAAGTAGTTGAAACGATATTTACCATGAAGCTGCAACGTTAAAGTGATGTGCACAACAGTGCGTCGGTAATTAATGTACATTAATGTAAAACGGGCCGCTCAGCATAATCAGTACCTTTACTTTTTGTATATTGATGTTAATACTTTTGTACTTTTACTTCAGTAACGTTCTGGGTAACGTGCTTTTACTCGTAACACGGTGGTTCTGCTATTTTCACTGAATGTTTGGATCCGTTTTCATTATACTATACCTACACACATTGTGTATGTGTAAATAAATAGACGGCAAATCAACTCATTGTTCATCTTTTACTCAATCTCGTCATTTATATAAATATAGGCTCCCTGTGTTTCTTTAGTGCAAACATTAGTGACTGTTGTTAAATGGAGCTAAATACTGACGCACATTCCTGTTCAAGTATCGACAGAGAGTTCAGTGGAAGCGAGGCTTTTATTTCTGAGCCCATGTTGGCTGCCTGCTGACCGCCTGATACCGCCAGTGGCTGACGGGACACTTGTATTTACACCATAGCAGTTTGCATTTCTCTCACTTGTTAACTGAATGTCGTGGTTTTGTCCAGAGATGATGTTTTCCCCTGTTTCTTAACGTTTCCCGGCGCAGCACAGTCGATCAGCTTTGACTTTGACTGTGTAAGCAGTTTAAAAGATTACACCAGAGAAATGTTTTGGTAACTATGTTCGGTTTGATGAACCCTTTTAATCCCAGTATTAGCCGATCTGTTTTCCATCTAACAAAACAAAGCTTTATTTAGCTACAATGATAAAATGGATCCACGGGAAGAGTCATTTAATTCTTATGGAAATGTAGCCCGTGATTTTTGTACAGCTGTTTGATAAGCCGCTGGAGTTCAAGGTGTATCAGCCTTTTGTTTACACGCACGCTATGGCCTGTCCGACTCCTTACTAATATAAAACTACTGCTTCTGGCCAAACTGTGCGTCACCTTTTTGTGGATGGAGCTGTTTGAAGCCTGTGCTGTGAGACGTAGGAGGGGGAAGGCTTCCTGTAACCAACTGGGCCACTCCTGCACCCTCGGCCTTAATGCTGACGCTGCGTTTGAGTGGATGAATAATTCACAAAGGGGAAAAAACAATAGGAATTCTCGTCGAATTTATTATATAAGACCATTTTAATCACCAAATGAAAGGCAATCTCGCTAATAACGCATCTTTGAATGAAGCTCACTGCAACTCAGATAACAAACCACCTGGGTAGAATAAAAGATTACAGCGTCTCTTAAGGCATAACTGCAGATGACGGCTCATAGACTTTGATGGATGAAAAGTGAATTTGGAGCGAATTCTGAAATCGGTTGCTTCACATGTGCAGGATTAGTGATATGTGACACATGTGCCCACTTACTCAGCAGTGATGACAAATGAAAACGGACCGGAGTGTAGGAAACAGCCCGTGTCCAAAGGTTCAGGGCGTGGACTGTAGCTCATTCGGCACATATCTTTATTATTCATGGCCTATAACCAACATCTTTATGTTTACTTTAAACGTTATATGCAGGCTTTGCCGTGACTATGTAGATATCAGCTGATTACCCTTATATGAACTTCATTTTTCCGTTCCAACATTCTGTTTTTGCTCAAGATGTGCTCAGTCCTAAAGTACGATATGCAGAAGTTTTATCCTTTCATTACGAGCGCACGGTTTTTATGCATAACCACAGACAAAACCAGCGTGAAATGAAACATAATTTGAAGGAACGGCGTCGATCTTACATGTTTAAATGATCCTGAACATGTTGGATCGAGCAAACGACCACAAGAGAGATAGCCAGGCCTGTCTTTTAACAGGCTATTGTCTTTTTTTGTCCCCCGGTACCAAACTGGACTGAGGCCTGACAAAAGTGCAGCATGTTAACATTAGTCCTTCATAGCCAGAGTAGCTATATCAAATTTTCCTGTGAATTCATACCTGCTACATACTCGATGAAAATAGATTTAATATATTAAAATAGCTTCCAAATTCAATTATGCACGTGGTCCAAATGATCTTAAACATGCCCTGTTCTATTAAATTAAACGCAATATTTCACTATAGCCTGAATTCTGCCATTTGACGCACGGCGGTCAAGTCTGAGGCGCATAACAAAGTTTGCGTTGTGGTCAAAAATGTGATCCTCAAAAAACGTGATCCATATCTTTGAAAACATTCAGACGTCTCTGCAGAGGTTAAGGTGAGGGTGAAGGTGAGGTTTGGTTTTGAAACCAGGCTAAAAATGTGGCAGCTTAATCAACTGGGCGCATGAAATTGGGTGTTGTTCTGTTTGTTCCTACCATGCAGCGTGGTAATGTAACGATGATGTATAGCCAGACAGCTGGAATTAGCTCTGCCAATCTACAGTATAGCAGAGGAAGGCGTAGTGTTTGAGATATTCCTCGTCTTTAAAATAGCCTAAGTGGGTCGCTGCAAAGTGCCCCCTCAGTATTTTTCCTCTCCCATACAGCCAAGGGTCTACCTTATTAACTCAATGACTCATATAGCGTACACATTGAGGCGTAGGCTATCTGTCATTTTGTGCCAGTGGTCACATGGCTTTGGCCCTCAGGAATGGATAGAGATGGATCCCCACGTCAGCTTGTACGTCTAAGGATTTCTGCTCCTCCAGTCTGCCTCAATGTGACTGGAGCGCAGCGCCGCAGAGGAACTATGTGAGGATTATCGTAGGTAGGTTTCCAACAGCAGACTATGGATTTTGATGATCGGATCTGTGGCTCTAATATGTATTTACCGAGCTGCACTTACTACGTCTCCGGAGCAGACTTCACCGGACTCCCTCATTATTTAACTCAAAGTCAGTCCTCCTGCCCCATGACATACTCGTACCAGCCCTCAGCCCTGCCACAGGTCCCGTCGGTGAGAGATGTGGCTTTCAGAGACTATGGCATTGATACTTCTAGTAAATGGCACCACAGCAGAGGGAGCCTGTCTCATTGCTACGCGGAAGACATTGTGCACAGGGACGGCTGGACGAGCCCGAGCTCAAGGGGGGGTGAAATCCTGATGAAAGGAAGCTCCAGCGCCAGCCAATCCAGCTCCTCTAATCCGACGCCGAGCTTCCATGGCAGCGTTGGCAGGAACGGCGTCTTGCCTCAGGCGTTCGACCAGTTTTTCGACACTGCCTACGGCAGCGCAGAGAACAGCACAACACCGACAGCACAAGCAGCAGACACGGACACACAAGACGTCAAAACAAGTCCCGCTCCGGCTCAGCCGGGCTCGGACACGGCGGAGAGCTGCAGTCCGAAGTCGTCTTCCGGCCAGAGCGACGAGAAACAGAGCAAAAACAGCGGTGAGTAGCCCCGTTTAGTGCACCGAGGACACAAATATCTAACGCGTTGCTCTTAAAGCTTTTTATATGCTGTTCTATAAGCACATAAGGTTTGTGGAGGGCCCGCACATTTACCATATAACAATACTGTGTTATAAACGACAAGATCACGTGCCTGAGATTGAAATTGGCCGTGAAGACGTTGGCGTTAAGCTTGTCTTCATAGATGTTAAACAAGATCTCTACTGCTTGATCCACATTTGTGCTTAAATATACTTGTGTACTAACCCGGTAAACTTAATTTATATGCGAATATATATGTATATATATATATACATATATATTCTTTTTACAAATACCACCGAAATAACCATCTAAACATTACGAACAGGCCTACATCTCCCACATCTGTGTCCAAGCGTTTAAGTGTATATTTTTGTACTTATTGAGTTTATTCAGTGCTGGCTAACATGAGCTGCTTAAACTTATATTTAAACCTAGCTCCTTATTTTAAAGATAGAAATTGTACAAAAGCGCTGATTTGCTGGGATTTAATTCAACAGCTTCTTTCCAAGAAGGACTTTGCTTCACTATGACTAAAACAGCCGCTTTTACGCACAGTGAAACCAGAAGCGTTTGGTTGAGGCCCACACCCCCACTCTGGAAAACAGCAAATAAATATTTCACAAAGTGTTCACAACTAGCGACAAGAGGCAATCCTTCATGCCCACATCAAGCCCAGTTTTGTTTACAAATCTTGATGCTGTAGGCCTGAGAGGAAGGAAACCCTTGAACTCCAAAGCTCACGCAGACCACCACTGATGATTCAATGCAAGAAATACGCTTTTGGTTCCATGTTATTGCGTTGTATTTATGGCATGTTTTGTGGTGACCTCTTGCCTTTTACTGCATTCCAGGTGGCCAGAGGACGCGCAAGAAGAGATGTCCATATTCCAAGTATCAGATCAGGGAACTAGAGAGGGAATTCTTTTTCAGTGTTTACATCAACAAAGAGAAGCGTCTGCAGCTCTCACGGATGCTCAATCTGACAGATCGTCAGGTCAAAATCTGGTTTCAGAACAGGAGGATGAAGGAGAAGAAGCTGAACAGGGACCGTTTACAGTACTACACCACAGCTCCCCTGCTATAAAATACTGAACAAAGACTGTCACTGGCATGCAGCCATGCACCCTCGACACTAGACTGCACGTCTATATCATTACCTGGACAGGAGTCCAGTTTTCTCCATGTGCCAGACTTGATAAAACCTCTGCTATTTATACACTCTTTTGTCATTAAACACCCTTGGTTTTATTATTATTATTATTATTATTATTATTATTATTATTAAATAAGCCTATTATTCTGCCTCCTGGTCCATCAAAAAATTCCCCAGTTTTAAAGTGACGTGGTTGCGTATTTGGTGTGTTGACGCGAAAACCAGATGTGTCTGCATTCCGTTTAAATTATTTAATACTTTGGGATATTACTGTTCCGCATTTTCAAACGTAGTTTTTCTCTTTTAAAATAAACCTAATTTTCCAGATTTGCGCATGCATGCACACGCACTGCCCAGTATTTTCTTTCTTATTTTTGCAAGTTTAATTTAAACCTATATTTTTACAAGTTTGCGCAAGCACACGCAACTTTTTGGCCAGGAATCTTGACATCTAAATACTGCTCGTGTTTCCTTTTCCCTATTGATCTTTTACCTTTATTGTACAAATACAACTCCGATGAATGGGAACAGTTTTTGTGTGTTTTTGAATTACTAAAAGACTTGATGTGACATCAGCGCTTGGTGGCGATCAACACCCCTAAAGTCGCTGCGCAGTGTTGCACAGTTAGAGGATGAGTTAACTTAAAATCTGATTGTTCATTTCATACATTTTTAAGTGTGATATTCAACATCTGTCTCTGACCCTCGGTGCCATCGCGTTTTTGAGCTCTCGGCAGTAAAGTTGGATTAATGTCCAAGGGCAAACCGCTGATAAAAGAACTAACCCCAAATGAAACCTAATCCCATATTTTGTTTTATATGGCAGCACGTGGATTGTACCAAATGCATGATATGTTGGTCTGATGCTTTTTTCCCCCTCATGGTTGGAAATCAAATCCGCTGTAGTTAATGATTTGATGGTCTATCCATTACAAAGTGTTCATTCATTTCTGGGGCGATGTGGAGGGGCTGATTTTTGACCTATGCATGTAAGGGCTTAGTGAAACAATCTGGACCCTTGTTTGAATGCAGATAGATCTGAGAGACTGCGTCTTTTCAAAGAATATGAGTCGATTTGTGTGGTTAACCGTCCATCGAAGGAGCTGTTGTGAAATCTAAGGACCATATTAATTCTATCCACTTAAAGTCAGCCTGCGGTGACCAATCCAGGCAGTGGCACTGGGCAAATAAAGAGATTAACAAACTGATCACTAGTTTAATCACCACTAGCTGTGTGATCGTTTATTTATTTATTATCTGAAATGGTTTACTCCAAAGAGCCCACATCAATTTTATGATAAACAAACAGGCTGTGAATTTAGGTCATGACGATATGTTAACCCGCAAAGGAGGGTGAAATGACATGATCACATTAAAAGGATGGGTAACATTAGGTTGAGGTGGCTTTAAACCCGCCATCAGGCCCCTTGAATGGCCTGCAATAACATAATAAGGGCCCTGATGCCTCCCTTATACCGTGCATCCTGTGAGGTTCTCAGGAATTCCGCTTTGATTGTTGCACATCCTCCCAGTTGCTCTAGTAACTTGGCCATAAAACGCGGATTCGTCTGGAGCATTTGGAGGGTAGTGCAATAAAGCGTCTGAGACCAAGGTTATTAACTGTGACTAAGGAGCTGAAAAACAGCGGCTGGGAGCACTGAAAGCTTGTGTTCACGGACCTTTCCGGCGCCATTTGTTTCAGCATCTTACCGTGGTAGGAATATTCTGCGTTTACTGTACGTTGCGTCGTCGGGCATAGGCCTGCTCTCTGCGCCCACTGGGTGGCGCTCCTCAGATCAATGTCATTGCCGTGAATTGAGATATAAAAGAAGTTTGCCTCACCGCCATCTCCTTTAAAACGTTTTACCACCTCAGGATTTCATTGTTAAGGTAGGCACAGAAATATGATCGATGCTTTTTATGACTACACTGGGGGATATTAATGCAATTTAGCAAAGAACGTGTAGGCTATTTCTCTACCTTATCTCATTATCTCCATCTGAAAGACGCTAAACCGAAGCCACCGTTTTATTACAGCTGCAGATGTTGGGATGTAGTGAAAGCATTACACATTGCAAGAAGTAAACACAGCACCAAAGGGGTGTTTTTCTAAACAACACATTCTCATCTTGCTGCTCTAAGTTGTGGCCTGCGGTGACTAATGAAGAAGTCAGATCACACGGACACGGATATTCCCAGCGTTTAACAGTTCACTAACTTTTTTTCTCCATAGTTTAACGAGTAAATTATACTTCATTTTATAAGTCCAAATTTGGATTTATTCTGTGTTATTAGAAACCTAGACATTTGTTTGCACTGATATCCTGATGCAGTTTGTTTCGCGCGGGTGCTTGTTCTTGCGCGCGGGTTAGACAGATGCAAACATTTTAGCACAAAACAGGCAGTCCGGGATTTTCATTTTTTAAACACATTTGTAAAAAAAATATATGAATTAAAACTGTTTTCTGGTAATATTACAGTAAGACTAGTGCACCCACAGCGCGCACTGAGACACCACAGGAGTAATCCAGGAGGGTTAATGGTTCTAATCATTCATTGCAGCCAGACTGCTGCAGGTTTGACGCCATGTAAAATGGCTGTACATAATCTGTAGCTATGATTTCTAGACTTTATGGCTCCACACTCATGGGAAAATGGAGGCAGTCGATGCGGAATTTCAGGGTGAATCCACCTTTGGAGACATTTTAGGGTGACCTAAGTCTGTAGGGCTGTGTTATAAACTCATAAACATCTTGACAGTCTGGGAAAGAAGCACGGGCTGGTGTAGTTTTTAAAACAGAGACAGTTTAAATATTGAGGCGATTAACGATTGTTGTTGATGATGGCAGCAAACTAATAATCACTTCTTTTTTTATTCACTCGCACAGCCAAGTTGAGACAAAATGATCCAGATTATAAATGGAATGTAACATCAGTTTATGGATTTTATACATTTTGAACACGCACACTAGCAAGGTCTGTTTGTGTGGCTAGTTTTTATATTTTCCCCATCACCTCCAGCTCACACGAGTGGGCCTGTTGTGTCCAGATTGTGAACAAAAAGGACAAGAGTTTCTAAAAAGAAGGGTGGTGAAGCTCCTCCATACACTTAAAGAACTGAACGGCTCACTGAACATTTTATTACAGGTTTGGTGGAGATTTTGACTTGAGATTAGACTTAAATAGAATCTAAAAGAATGCGGATTACGTGTGTTTATGTTTTCTGAATGTGTGTGATGCGGTGAGTAAACCCCCCCCAGCAGCTCATTAGGGGGAAAATGGCAGCATTAACCAATTCTAATGCAGCTAATCTATTCCGTAACGAACCACGTTTCTTGCAGTCGTGCAGATATTAGATGATCCCAGAAAGATGTAGCCCCGGGCCACCGTTCATTCTATGCGTCACCTTTAAAAAATACCCAACCGGGACTTTGCACTTTTAAAAGAGATGTTTGATCGTAATCGTGACATTCGCAGCCACGGTTTTCACTGGAAGACTCTAAAGAAAGCGACTCTGTAGTGGTGTGGCAGTATGAAACTGTATAGGAATTTTAAAAATAGTCCAAGAGCAACACGAGACGTGTAAAAGTCCGTGAACCAGTCACTCAGGACCTTTTGGGTCTGTGATGCAGCCCCAGACCCCTTCATTTTCTTTTACAGTGCTGTAAAACCGGCCATAAAGCTATGCATTGTAGCCTACATAACTGTTAGAGGCAGCGTTCAACAATAGACTTGTCAAATAGGGCTTGTTGTTAAATTTACATAAGCAGCTCCAGGCTTATAATCGAGGTTGAGGCTTAAAATCTAAGATTCAAAGGAGATTTAAAGATATTATACCCAAAGCCTTCTGATGCACCACGTCCCCCCATAGTTGTCTCTGTACTTAGCCTAAAACAAAATATATGACACAGTGGAGCTGCCTGCTCGGACTGGGAGGAGTCTGTGGCCGCCTGGTGTTTTAATTGGCTGCAGGCTACAGTGAGAAGCGTGAGTATCAGTAATTATTCAGCAATGTTTTTCACAAGAAATGTCAGCCAGAAAGGGCTATCTTAATCCTCCGTCAAATTATACCACAACGATGACATGCCCCAGCAACCAAGCTGGAAATTCGTTTTTCGTGGATTCCCTAATCAACGTGAGAACCGACAGTGGTTCATACTACCAAAGTAACGGGGTGTATTTGCCACCGGCTTCGGAATATTCCTATGGACTCTCCGGTGGCTCTTGTTTCCCGGGGATTGGTAAGCGCAACGAGCCGTCTACCCAGAGCGTGATCCCTTCCTCTGCTCCGTATGTTCAAGGGATGGAAACGTGGCTGGATACGTCGAGATCCTGTCGGGTGGATCAACCCAGCAGCCAGCATATGGCTCAGTGTTCATTCTCGCCGAGTATAAAGGAGGAAAGCGCATATTGTCTTTATGAGTCTGACAAATGTCCTAAAGGAGCGACAGTGGATGACATTTCCTATTCGAATGCATCATGCCCCATCACGGGCAGCACCGTGCCAGTCCCGGGCTACTTCCGCCTGTCTCAGACATACGCGTCCTCAAGGCTTTACCATGATGTCCAGCCAAATATGAATCACTTTACTCTGCAACGACCTGCGCGTTTGGACAGTCAGTCCTCACAGCTGCCGCCTGCTTCTGCGGAACCCGAGCGGAAAGAGAGCCACAAGGAGGCGCCGGTCCCTGCGCCCTGCGCCCCGGCCAGAGAGGAGGACAGCCACCTCTCCTCTGAAAGCTCATCCTCCCCCGAGCCCGCTGAGACGTGCAGCGCGGAGTGTCCAGAAAAGCCCGTAAAAGGTGAAGAGTCGATGTCCATTGCAGAGATATTCAGCAAAAAATAGCAGAGGACATGCGTGAAAAAAATCCGTGCACATTTTAGGTTTTAATTGTTTTCTTTTGCAAATGATTTATAACCAGACGAATGCATGAGTGCTGCTTTCTATTACAGGATTAATTTAGGTCAACACTCAGCCGCAGAAACGTGTTTTTAAATACACGATATTTAGCGGTTTATCGCACGATGCGAAATTGAAACGCGATTTAACCAATCAGAGCCGCAGATTACAGCTATTGTGCTTTAGTAGCTCTGTTAGATTACACATAGGATGCTGTAGCTGTGTAACTGTGCTACACTGCACCGCTATTCAACACAGCTATGCCCTGATGATTACAAAGCAACTTAATTATTCTTGTTTTTAAAAACTATGGACATTTGCTATGATTTAAATTCATGCAGTATTGAGGCCAATACAGTGTGTTGCAGCGGTCATGTGGAAGACTGATTTCATTTGTCCCCCCCATCCAAGCCACGGGCCTTGCTCTAATGTGTATTAGGTCTTAATAAAGGTAAAAGGTGGCTGCTGGCTGTTTGCTCCATGGGGCAAAGAGCAGTTTGGGGTAAAAGAAATAAAGAGTGGCTTCGAGTTATCACCAGAGATATCTGATTGTGCACAAAGTCATGGTACTAATCAAATAAAAATAGAAATAAGCGATGAACCTATATGGGTCTCTGTAAGCTATGGCTGTAGGTGTCAAGTCATAGAATGTCGTCACCAAACATGATTTAATGGATTATTTTGGGTTCTGAATTTTACTAGTCTATCATTTCTTTTAGGAAAAATAAAGACATGATGTCTGCAGGTATACTGCTTATCTCATACCTGTTGCCTAATATCTTTAATGTGTCATGTCTCGCTGTTATTGTAGGGGATGGAAAAATGGAAAGTACGGCGAACTGGCTCACAGCTAAGAGTGGCCGAAAGAAGCGCTGCCCTTACACCAAGCACCAGACTCTGGAGCTGGAGAAAGAGTTTCTCTTCAA